CTCTGTGGTCCTATCAGTAATGGTCATTCTGCATCTTTCAGCTCAGTAGGGGCACAGATAAGATAGATCTTTCTCATCTGCTAGATACTTACCTTCCTAAATTTTGTGGGGGAAGCTGTCTAAATATGATACGTTCTTGTGTCAGATACAGACACTGGCTGTCTTTTCAAGTCGTTAAAGGCAGATCAGTAGATACAGAGTGTAAACAAGTTGCCCAGGTCTCCTTTTTAGAAAACTAGGTGAAAAAAGCCCTTGCCTGAAAGACTCTGCAGCATGAACTTCAGTAAATTAATTCTTTTTTTTTTTCAATTCAGCATCAGTAAACAAAATTTAAAGGAGGAAAACCAACTTTAGTTTAATCCTTTAAAAACTGTGATTCAGCTTGTTTTCCTTTTATACAGGGTATTTGTTAAGTAAAGCTCCTGTATTTCATTGCTTCAGGCGAGTGTGTAATATTCATGCTCCAACTTGACTTAAGTTACTGTTTTCTTTAAACTAGAACACAACCAAACGCAACTTCTGGAGAAAAATCTTACTGTTCAGTTCGTTCCTCACTTCTTTGCAGTGTCAGGTTTAAAAGAGGGAAAGGACGAGGCTGAACTAGTGGGTGTCTCTTAGGGCAGTTGTGTATTGCCAAATCCATGAAGCATCTATTGGAGCAGCTCAACGTGCTTGTGCTTAAGTGAATTCTGAGCCACGAGTGGGGAAGCCTTTCTGCTACATATTTAAAAAGTGAGAAAGACAATTTTGGACATTTATCTTAAACGAAAGGATTGGTTTTTATGCTTAACAAGGGTCGATTCCCTTTTGTGTCAGAGTGCTTAGCTTCACTGCATTAGATGTAATATCATTTCACCTTTGCAAGTTTTCTTCTTTATTTTTTATTTAGACTGAATCATTTGCGTGAGTCTTTGGCATGCAGTGAAATAAATAGCCTTTTACTTAAAAAAAAAAAAAGGCAAAAGGAATTTCTGATTGCTTAGTTTCTGATGATTAAAATGTCTCAAATACTTGTTTTGCTGCGCTTTCTCTGTCAATGCGGTTGCATATTTATAGGAATTACAAAAAAACCCTGTAATTCCCACGATTGCACATGTAGCTGTGACTTTCTTCTTCAACAAAAACCCCAAACTCTGTTTCAGATGTCCAAAAGGTGGTGCTAGTATCTTCTTCATTGGAAATTCCTGTTAAGACTCAGCAGGCTTTGGAACTTTCTGCACCTGCTGATCTGGATAAAACTACAACTGAGCTGGCTGACTGGCTGGTATTGATTGACCAGATGCTCAAGTCAAACATAGTCACCGTGGGAAATACTGAAGAGATCAATCGGACTATTGCACGAATGAAAGTATGTGTTTTTGTGAAGGCTAGTGGATTGGAAAATTGACTCACAGTTTAATACCTTGTATATTCAGTAAAGAAATTACATGTGGGTGGTTGTTTTTTAAAAGAAAAAAAAAAGAGAAAAAGAAACTGCAGTAAATGCATAACTTGAAAATTACACTTTAAATGCTGTTATTACGCTCCTCTTTCCTCTACTGTTTCCTGTTAATTCCTGTATCCTTATGTGAGCTAGGCACTGCTATTTTTTTTGTTTTAAACAAAGCATGTAGAGAATACCTCCTGAAAATGACATCTTTTTTGGGATGTATAGATAGCTGATGTGGAAGACTTTGGAGCAGCTTCATATTTTCTTGGAGTGTGACCTTTACGATCCATTCTTTAGTGGTTTCTAATGAGTTTTGCTGTGTTGTAGTTAGACTAAACTGATTTCCAGAGACATGCTAAAGTGATTAAAAGTTGTAACATAAATGTTTATGATGTAAATGTTTTTTTCTGTTGATAGCTTGTGCTATGCTGAGCCATGACTAAGGGCAGTATTTGTGAGATGTATGCTACCATTAAGGTTCATTTTATTTGACTTGATATCAATTAACATGAGTAACTGTAGAGTAAAAGCTGCAGGCTAAACAAGAGCTACAGTGTTTCTGTGGGTGTCTAAGATAGTCTGAATTTCAAAAGAATAATGCGATGTACAGTAACTTTGGAAACACTTTCTTTTAACTGTGTAATACTTGTGTTATGGGCTTCTGGTACGTTGCTGTAGTGAAATGACTATGTGTTTAATACAAAATATAGTCTGATTGTTCCTCCCTGTTCTCTTCCTTCTCCATCTCTTCCCCCCCCCCAAATGATCAGAGTTTGGTAAGAGGAAAAAAAGTTATAGATTGAAAAATAGATATTGGAAAATATTGTGCAATGCCTGCGATAATTGTGTAATTTGTGCAAGTTAACCTTCACCTCTGGATTTTCAGTAACTGTAATGCAGAATATTTTTGCATTTTTAAAGCAATCCTGCGATACTGTGACAATTAAAGATTACAGTAATGATGGGAACAGCCACCTACTTGTGGTGTCACATACATTTTTTTGTTTGTTTGTTTTATCTACAAATAATACAGATGATCTTAACTGAATTCTGCTTTTTGGACTTAAAAATTGTATCCTCATTCTCAACAGATAACAAAGGCAGATTTGGACCAGCGGCACCCTCAGCTAGATTCTGTTTTTACATTGGCTCAGAATTTGAAAAATAAAACTTCCAGTTCAGACATTAGGACAGTGATCACAGAAAAACGTAAGTTTCTGCATTCTGTGTTTGCAAATACAGTGTTTCCATGACAGTAAACAAATCTTCATATCTTTGTCTTAAACTTTTGATTTTGAGCCTAGCTGAAGTTGCCTTCCTTGAACGAATCGAAAACTTAGCAGTTAAGTGGCTTTCACCCTAACAGTCTAATGACTTAGGACAATAACTTCGTGTACGTACTTCTGAAATTGTTGACTGGGAGTAGAGCTTTTAAGTCACTGATATATGCTTGCAAATTGACTTTGCAGCTTAAAAGTCCTCACCTCCTTTGAAAATTTCTTCTGCTGGTGCCTAAGGAAAGAAGACATACAACTGACACAATTAGAAACACAGGGACAAAGTATTCTTTGAACTCTTAAGCCTTATGCGTTGCTAAGATTAGAAGATTCATGCAGCAGGAAATATCGCGGTTAGAAGTAAAAATGGAAGGATATATTTCCTTATGTTTTCCTCTGCAATATAGTTCTCCTTTACTGTATCTTTACTACATCAGGAGTTCTTTCCCATCTTTCTGCCTTTGATACCAGTCTGGTGCCCCAGCAACTTTTTCTAAGAACCTGCCCATTGAACCCACAGAATGCTGAGGCTATCAAGAATTTCACTATTTTTCTGTCCTGTTTTGGTGGAGACAGAAGAGAGGGGGAATATGTGAACATTACACAGAGTAAGGTTAACCTAGCTATTAATAGGGAAAAATATATCAAGAACTATTATTTCTATAGTGATAATACTACTATGTAAACATCAACTATCTATCCATTTCAACCAAGTTGCTATTTTAGGCAGCTATTTCTCAGGGATATTTTTTCCTTCCAGCTTTGTGAGGAGAGCCTAAACATTTAAGAGTTTTTTTCTCCGCAGTTCATTAGCCAGCACAAAGGTTTATAGCCTTTTTTTCACTCCTGCTGTTTTTGCTTTTGCTGTTTTAGTGAAACCACTGATCTGTGCCAGCAGCTGCTGGTTTCCTTCAAACATACTCTTTATCCAATATGGTTATATCTTATCTCTTTTTAAAAATAAAACCACATATTTTTATTTGTTATTGGGGTACCTATGCTTTCTTCTGAGTTCTCATTCAGCATGACCTATGTCATGCCTGAAAATTAATCCAAAAGTTGCCTGTGGGTTGAAATTGATGAATCTATATTGCACAGATTATTGAGTTTGTCCGCCAGTAATACAGTTACTCTGATAAACAGGCTTCTCTACCACAGTCTTTGAGAGCTTTGTGAAACTAAACAGAATATTGAATGTATTAAAGTTAAGTGATCTTCCCAAGCTATTATACAAGCATAATGGCTTTGTATACTTCTAAAACTTTTTTTTTAAAAAAAAAAGCAAAGGGTGAACTTCACTTAAGTGGTTTTAGCTTAAGCACAACCTTTGGCATTTTTACTTCATGGAAGATTGAAGTGATATGAGTATCAAGGATGTTAATTTTCTAATAAAATTGCATACTTACTGGTAAGATAAATATATTGGATGTGTTGCATACTGCCTACCTGCTGCTGCTCAAGAAATCCAGCTTTTTTTTTTCTTTCTTTTGTTTGCTTTTTTACATTTGCTGTTTTACTCTTTATTTCTAGTGATATGTGTTTCTAATAACTGTCATGACACGTAATAGGGAAACCTGTTTCCACCTCCATAGACTTTCAAGTAATATACTTTTTTTAACCATCTGTAAGTATTAAGAAGATGATGTGATGCTATCTATTTCTTTCCGAAGGCAGACATACTGCTTTCCCTGACACGCTTTTTTGTCCTAGACTCTTATGTTGTCTTTTTCACCCTTTATTTACTAAAGGTTAAATCCTGTTAATTGATCATCTAGTGTAACTCTATTGAGAAAGGAACAGGATAACTGAAGGAAATGGAGTGAGATCAATAACTTCTCTGTTCTGCTGTGTAATCTACATAAGGCTGTAGAAACCTGTGGTGGAATGAAAGTGCCAAAGTAGGTTGTTACTGGAGTGTTTCTGTCTTGGCCAGAATTGTAGTACAGGTGCCATTAGACTGCCTTCAACACACAGTGATCTGGAAAGCTTGGTTCACTTTGTATAAGCTGTCCAGATCTAAACAGTATTTATGTAATTATTTGTTTATTTTTATTGGTTTAAGTTGCAGATGCACGAAGATGACTTGCTGGTATAGCCGTCATCTTAAAATTGTGCTCCTTAGAGCCCTGCTGCTGGTGCATCTCTGCAGTGCAGCTGCAGCAGGTTTGCCTCCCATGTGTGTACTTGAAAAGTAAAATAACACCTTTGAAATATTCCAGAAATAATAGTTGTTACCAGTATGCTGACCTACTTAAACAAAAGTTAGAAAAACACTTGCATTTTTCATTTGTGTGTGTGAACATGTAAACTACATGAGGAACTAAAACACTGAATGTCGAAACTACTGTATTTGAGAATGAGTTATGTTATTGCTGCTTGTCCTGAAAATTAAGTGGTTGTTATGGCTACTTGTTTCTTTGCCTCAGGTTTTTCATATTCTGTATTGTCGTCCACAGTGGAGAAGGTGAAGAACCAGTGGGACAACACCCAGCATGGCGTGGAGGTGCGGCAGCAGCAGCTGAAGTACATGCTGGCGGACAGTGTGCAGTGGGATGAGCAGAGGCAAGAAATGGAGCACCTCATGGAGCAGTGTGAGATCCGTCTGCGTATGCTCCTGCAGGCCCCGAAAGAGATGCTTGCCAAACAGGTTTCAGACAACAAAGTAAGACCATCTACATTTCCCTCCCCCCGCCCCCGCTGACTCCTTGGTCTGTGTAATGCTACTGAATTCCATTTATGTGAGAATATACGATTTAGTTGTAGGACTAATTTGGCAATTCTGTCTCTTTTTGATATATTCTGAATTGTCTCTATTTTTTTTATATATCAGACTTCCTAAGAATTGCCTTCTGGGAGAGAAACAGGTGGCATGCATGCATGTGTGTCTTTTTATAAGTGTAGTTGAAATGAGTATACTGTAGCATCAAATAAATGATATTATACAAAAAGCTTGAACCTCAGACCAATAAAATTTTAATCATACAGCCACAGAATGTAGCATTTATTACTTCATAGGAATGCATTAGCAGTAGTTTAGTAAACCCAGGAATGGACTAAGTTATTTAAAATTATCTGGAATTTCACTTCTCATGAGTGCCAGGCATATTCAACACTCTTTTTTTCTTCCAGACCCATGCAATCTTCACTGCTTTTTGTATCACAGCAAACCTGATGTGATAAAAATAAGTCTGATGTCTTTTGTCCTGGTGGCTATCAGAAAAAGGGCAGGCTCTAGGTGGCCCAGAATGAGAACTAAAGAGGCAAATCAGTGAGGAGGGAATCTTATCAGTGCAGTATTTAGAACAAGGCTATAATAGAGTTTTAAAAAATGTGTGTGTATGTGTGTATATATATATTCATGAAGGGACAATGTAAGGGTGTGCAGCTGGGTATGGAAAGAAGCAGGGAGTTTGGTGAGAATTTCTCACTGATTCATAGCTATTTCAGTAAACAATAAAATTGTATGGTTTTCATCATCTGTCTCTGCATGAGCAGGGGGTTGGAAATATGGACTATTAGGTCTGGTTTGCTTTGCTCAAGTGAAAGCAGGCCTGTGCCCAAACGTGTAGTACAGACATTGTAAGATAGAACTGGACATATATATGCAAATATATTTTTTTGAGTTAGAAATAATGTTGAGTTCTGGATTCTGTAAAGTCAAGGCACCTTGTGAATATCCTGCCACAATAAGCAAACATATCTAATGTATTTTCTCTATTTAAAAACAAAAAACCCTCACAAAACAATGAAATCAGATTCTCATGCTGTGCACTTCATTTGTGCCACTTTTAGCTGCCGCTTATATCAATAATTTAAACTTATTCATGCTACTAAAAATACGGAAGCATTTTTACTTCTGTTGCCAGTAAAACACAGAAGAGAATTTTTTAGCCTTTGTCGGTTCTGGCAAATATAATTTTTTCCTTTTTTGTGTGTGTGTTTTGATTGATTCATTGTCAGGACACTTAGTATCTGTAGACTTTATTTTTAAGATTTTTCTTCTAGATTAAAAATATGCATTTTTTTGTTAAAAAAACGCTAAAAGGGGAGCTTTGTACTATGATAAAATGCATAATATGAAAAATAGTCTGATTTTGATTTTACTCTGTTTAATTCTGGAATTGCTTTTTAGCTGCTAATACAGGATTTGCATAGAGGTGACATCACGGTAGCTGCATTCAACGATCTCTCTAATAAACTTCTTCGAGAGTATCGTGATGATGACACAAGGAGGGTGAAGGAAACTACTGACCAAATGAACACTTGTTGGGTTAATCTGAACCAAAGGTAATTACAAGGTTTCACTATATATGTAGCTGTTTCTGTCTTAAACTTGTATCCTATGTACACATGTGTATTGCAGTCTTTTCTCTGCTTTACTGGAGCGTTTAGGGCTACTGTGGAAATTAGTCAACTACAGTGAAGCTATCTTAAGTTCTGATGATGGAAATTCCCACAGTTCATCATGGAAGGCTTCTGTAAACCTTCCCATTTATGTGGTGTTTTTTTTAAGAGCAGGAGAGGAATTTCTTCTCTGTGTTTGGTCTCAGGTTTGCCTGTGGCTAGTAGAGACATAGATCTGTCCGAGCGTGTTCAGAGGAGGGCCACAAAGATGATCCAGGGGCTGGAGCACCTCTGCTACGAGGACAAGTTGCGGGAGCTGAGATCGTTCAGCCCTGAAAAGAGAAGACTTCGGGGGGACCTAATAGCTGCCTTCCAATACCTGAAGGGAACCTACAGGAAGGCTGGGGAGGGACTTTTTACAAGAGTGTCCACTGATAGGACAAGGGGAAATGGGTTTAAGTTGAACGAGAAAAGATTTAGATTAGATCTTAGGAAGAAATTCTTCAGTACGAGGGTGGTAAGACTTTGGAATAAATTGCCCAGAGAAGTTGTGGATGCCCCCTCCTTGGAGGTGTTCAGGGCCAGGTTGGACGGAGCCTTGAGTAGCCTGATCTAGTTGAGAGGCGTCCCTGCCCATGACAGGGAGGTTGGATTAGATGATCTCTAAGGTCCCTTCCAGCCTGTGCCATTCTATGATTCTATTCTCTAAGTGTCTTTGAAGAGTTCTCTCCCATTCCTTGACGCTGGTACGCTTTATGTATTTGTAGTCTGTTGCTGAGCTTTCATAAGGCTGGAAGTATTCAGCTTGGTCTTCCAATGCATTCATTCATTATGGCCTTTCATCTACAGGAAACTTTCCCTGAATGAGGCTGCACTTTGGGCTCTTAAGTGTGATGTTTCTAGCACTCCTATGTAGAAGATACTTGAGCTATAGGAACTGAGACTTACTTGAAACTTACTTCTTTCTATTCATCCTCTATTAAGACATATTTGCAAATGTCTTAATGAAAATATGGTATTTCCCGATGCATAATATATTTTTTCTGCAAGGTAATCTAATCTCTGCAGAAATTCTTTAGTATTTGGTAGAAAATTAACATTTAGAATAGTGTCTGACTCAGTGCCTGCCCCTTAAAGGATGGTATGCTTTGTCATTAGAGGGACAGAAGAGAAAATTGATCCTGTGTATATGGGTGTGGGGGAGATGACAACCAAAGTCCGTATGTATGTGTGCATATATGTGCATGTAAAAAGGGCAACTGCTTTTGTAAAGATGTGTCAATTAAGTGAATAAAAATCCTACATAATAACGCCTTTGAAGTTGATGTTATATCCTGAGGAGTGAGAGGAAGAGAACATCACAGTGGCAAGAAGCAGGCAATGAAGGAAGCAGAGCACAATCTCGTCTTATCCTTCTTTGGAGGAAAATGGTACTTATGTCGCTTTGTGCTTCTGATGCGTCAGGTGGTTTCCTGGTTATATCCATTGAGAAATGAGGTACAAAATAGGTAAAACTTTGTATGGCTCATTTCATGTGATCATTTGAGAGAGAATAAAAATTTGTTAATCTCTAAATGTTTTGAGATATAAGATAGAATTTTTCAAGTAAGTAAAACATTTCATAATTATTCTATATGATGCAGGTAACTTCTTTCAGAAAACTTCCAATAGACTATGGGAAAGGCTTCGACATGGCGAAACTTCCTTGGCTTTTTACTTTTACTTTTTCTGAACTAGGTCATAGTGATGAGGTCATCTCCTGAAATGGCTCTTCCTGACAATTCATTTGCATTAAGATTAGAGACTGCAGCATTTTCACTATCAGATCGTCCTTTCTTTCCTCAAAATAAAATAATAATTTTTCCAAAAATGCCATTAACTTCGTCTGAATGTCATGATGACATCTGGGGATGAAGATGCAATTAGAGGGTGAGGGGAAACAGCTCCTTGTTGCATTAGCAGTAACAGTAGACTACAGCTCTGCAGTAGTCTCATTCACATTCAAACTTTGCAGTGTTTTGGCTAGAACTGGCATAAAAGGGCCCACCATTCAGAGCAGGTGACCAGAAAGAGCAGCTCCTGCCTGGAAGCCTCTAATTATTTTTGAATCTGCTTAAAGTCTGGAATAATAAGCAGTTGCAGTCTGTTGTGTATAACTGCAGCTCCTCAATTATCACTGGGGCTACTGTTTTGCTGTCTGCAGCCTCAGGAAGATGAGTATCTGCTTTGGTTTTTAGCTAGAGACAGAATGTAAAGAACTCCAAGAGCTAGCAAGTAGCCAGAGCATGGAGCTGCTCAATTTAACCTCATGGAGCAGCAGAATAGAATTAAAAGGGGAGAAGTTGTAGTAAAAGCACCTTTTCAAGGGAATGAAGGTTTTTGTACTTACTTTAAATGCAATAAATAGAAACACCTAGCGAACCTTGAGTGACAAGGTTCATGTGGCATATCTCGGGACACGCAGAGATTGTACATAGATTTCATAGATTTTGAGGTTGGAAAAGACCTTAGAGATTATCCAGTCCAACCGTTCCTAATCCCCCATTAAACCATATCCCTAAGTAGAACGTCCTCCCTATTCTTAAACACATCCAGGGATGGGGACTCAACCACCTCCCTGGGCAGCCTATTCCAGTGGCTGACAACCCTTTCAGAGAAGAAATACTTCCTAACATCCAACCTGAATCTCCCCTGACTAAGCTCATACCCATTTCCTCTTGTTCTATCACCCAACATTAATGTGAAGAGCCCTTCCCCTACCTCCCCACTGTCCCTTCTCAAGTATTTGTAGGCTGTAATCAGGTCTCCCCTCAGCCTCCTCTTCTCCAGGCTAAACAGTCCTAATTCCCTCAGCTGCTCCTCATAAGTTTTATTTTCCAGCCCCTTGACCAGTTTAGTCGCCCTTCTCTGGACCCGCTCCAGGAGCTCAATATCTCTTTTAAAGCAAGGGGCTCAAAACTGGACGCAATAAATAAGTACATGGAGGACATGTGCGGCCCTATGGCTTCTATAAGCACAAATCTGTATTTATAGCATAATAATTTAAAATACCAGTTTGCTCCTGTGCTTGGAAGTTGTGGAAGGGGTCCTTGGTGACATCACCTGGAAGAATCACAGTCCTGAATAGCACAAGAACACTAGCAGGAAGACTATAGCCATGGCATGTAAAGTTGAATGAGCTTATTTTAAAACTGTTGGCATTAAGACATTGAACCTTCCCAGCTTGACATTGTGTAAATGGGATACTCTGTCCAGTGGCTATTTATGTTCTATTTTTATACTTTAGGGTGAAACTGTAGTAATTCTGTATCTTTTTTGCTGCCTCAGTAATGGATTATAATTGTTGTCTGTACTGTCTCAGATGTTATTTTCTGATGTTCTTTTGATCATGTGCGTGCATGCATTACAGATTTTTAGTTTAAATTTGAAAAAAATAATTGGGTGGAGCAGACACCTGGAACAGTGCTATGAAAACTTAGATAGTAGAGTCACAATTTTCTTTTTCTTGGACTTGTCTTAGTCTAAGCAGATTCTATTAGCATTCTCCACTATCATTATACTCACTAAGTGAAGTTAGTTGCATTTGTAAAGGATTTTCCAGGTTCTCCTTACATTTAATTCTTACATCCTGGAAGGACCGTCTGTCTTTTGACACTGTTCTAATTGTACTAGAATTCTTTGAAAATCTGAGTCATCTTTTTCTAGCATGAGGTAGTCATTAATCTGTAGTACAGAATTCTCCATCGTTTTCCATTTGTGGCCATTACTGTAAGGAAATGAAATTATTTGTGTCTTCTCTGTAAAAGCGTTGCTCACTACTACTGTACAGGTCCTCTTTAGAAGCACCCATGTCATCTCAGAACATTAGTGTAAATCTTTTAATTTATGCTTCTAGAGTACGTATTTAGTGACAGGAATGATTTTCAGCTTTAGTTCAAATATGACAGCAGTGGGACTATACTAGTATTTCATTCTTTCCTTCAATTTCAACCAAGCAGAAAGTTTGAGAAATTAAAACTTTAGGCTGAAAACAACGTTCTTCAATGAATGCTATTAACTACAAAGTTCAGTTTGTCTCAATTCCCATCTAGTACATCAGTACTTAGACTTAGAGATCTGGGTCACTTACAATGTTTCATCCTTTGGGGCTTTTTTCTTTGAAGGTCACCTTTATTACCAGTCTGTTCTTCCTGTCGTCACTCCTGTTCTTCCACCTTTGGCCTTAACGCCCTGCTGGGTAAGAAAATCCCTGCAGAGGGAGAGTGTTTTGAAGTCAGAGCTCATAACTGCTTTTGCTTTACATTTTTCTTGCAGTTCCTTGATGTGCTCTAATTTTTGAGCTCGTGCTTGTTATCTTTTCTAGGCAATATCTATGAAACTATTCGTAATCTCTAGTGTGCTATTTATTGTATTTTTTTTTTTTATTTTTGAGCGTGGGTGAAGCATTCCAGAGCTTCAAGTGAGAAGCAAGAATGAAGGCTTTTTGTCCTGCTAGTCATTTATCAGTAGCCAAAACTTGGGCAAGCATGAATTCAAGAATGATTCAGAGTCTTATTTTGGATAAAGCAATTATTAACAAGTGACCGTAAGACCTAAGCTCCTAAAGTGGGTGTTGTGGCACTATCTTTTTGCAAATAGTCTCTAGGAAATTCAGCCCGTTATGCTAATGCTTAGGAAGGTAAGCCTGGCAGAATTGGGGTTGCATGAAATTTTCTTACTGCCTTTGAAGGAAAACAGCTTTTCCTTGTGTCTGTCTTTTCTGATGTGCTAGTAAACCAGAACATCTGCTTTGAAATGTCATCTTGAATGATACTGAACACCTGCAGCTTCTTTTTTTAAAAAGAATATTTTAACTGCTTTTGAAATTCATGATTTTAAACACAGTGATACCCTGATACTGCTGAGCAGTACTGTTACCACAGCACGGCAAGGAGGAAAGAAGCCTAAGTTGAGTAGGAGGAGGCAGAAGACACATAAGTTTGAGCCTGTCTGGAGAAACACGTTCAATTCCCGTGAAAGTAACAAATGCTGGGTGTTTTGGCCTTGTCTTGCTTGAAATTAAATATCACTTTCCCCTGAAATCTTACAATATGATTAGTGCTTGATGTGAAAATAAAATTGAACTTCCTGCTTATTTGGTAGCAGTGTTCTAGATAGTAGCCCTGATAGGGATTTCTGTACAGTGTGCTGGCGTGGGACAGCTTCTTTCTTTTGTCCCAATTTTGGGAAAAGGGATACTGCAGAATAACAGCCACAAATAGATGCAGTTTAGCTTGTCATGCTTTAATTAACATAAGTTTCCCATCTGAGTTTCATTTCAGTGACAAGAAGAGTTCTGTTATGCAGAAGTATTATGTGATCTTTTTTTCTAGGAAATATTTTGAAGTTACTTACCAACAATATAATCCAAAGGTTTTAAGTGAGTTACTTACATCTTAAAAAAAATCCTCTTACAAACAAAAACTTCTGTGTTTGTACCAATGAGACATCTTTTGGATTGATTGAAAATTTGGATTATATTCTGCCAGTCTTTCTTAGATTTCGGCATGTTGAGCGTGAATTGACTGTTATGATGGTAATGTATTGTTCTGTTGGTTTGAGCAATAGTGTCAAAAGTCTTGTCATTTAGCAGAGAGAACTAGATATTTGACTTTTCATCCCTCAGCACTTTTACAAATTTAGGGAAATGCTTCTGCTCACTGTAAAAGAGGAAAAAAGAAATCCCCTGAACACTCAGTGTTTCTACTCTGTATGATTTTTGTTGATGAGGAAAAGCATTCATACTTCTCATACATGGGAATAACACTTCTACTGTTTGGGGTAGCATAAGTCTGTGATGCTAATACTCAAAAAGGAAAAGCTAGATTTCTAATTAATAACTTTTTCTTCCACATGCCTTTTTAAAAAGGGCTGTGAAATATATAACGAGTTCAGAACATCTGTGGGTAGCTATAGATAAAATAACCAGAGAAACAGTGATATAAATAATGATAAAACAAGCTGTGACATGTATAGTTTCTTAATAGAGATAGCTTTCAGATTTCCTTTTAGTAGTTTCATTATGATGTATGTAATGCTGTATGTTATGGGGGAATATTCTGACACTTGTCTTGTTTTCAGAGCTGTTGACAGGCAGAATTTCTTGGAGACAGAGCTGAAGACAGTACAGGCCTCACACAAAGATCTGGAGAGCTTCCTCAAGTGGCTTCAAGAGGCAGAGACAACAGTTAATGTTCTAGCAGATGCATCCCAGCGTGAGAACACTACTCAGGACAGTGCCTGCATAAGGGAACTTCGAAAGCAGATGCAGGTGAGAAACTAAATAATACTGCTGTTATTCCTGCTTTTTCTCAATGGGAAATGTTACAAAGGAAAGCTGTACGTTAGAGTGGGGAAACCTGCAGCCTATTGAAAAGTGTGTAAAAACCTCAGTATTTTAGAAGTCAGGTGTGTCAAGGAAGCAGGTCGTTCTTCCTAAGGTTTGAAATAGGCATTTTGTGGACATCTATGGCACTGAGGCCACTTAAATGTCCTTGGAGGGTGACTGTATTCAGGAAGTGAATACTTGGTTAAACCAAGTCATATTGTGTGATTGTCCAACCAAACAATTTAGTCTACTTCCCTCTAAGTAAAGCTCTCGTGGGCTTCGCTGTCTTGTATCCCTGCCTGCTGCCTTCCTCCTGTTTTTCCAGCAATCCAAGAAATTGTCGTGTTTGAATCACCTCTCCTACTGCCCAGTAGCTCCTCAGCTGGCCTTCCTTCCTATGCAGGCTGCAAACTGGAAACCTGAGAAATAACTGACCAGGAGACTGACACCACTTAAGCGTCCTTTTTAGTATATGGACACCCTAGCTTGTCTAAAATCTATACAGGAGATCCCTTCTGCCTGTCTAAGAAGCATGAACTAGCTGAGTACCACATCGTCTGGCTGTTCCTGCCTTTGCATATCCCATACATCTCCTTTGGGAAGGTAGGAAAAAGAGAGGAGCTGGGTTCGGTCTGCATTTGGGGTACAGTGTGTTGAGGTAAAACAGGAGGAAAGGTGTAGAGACTTGACAGCTCTTTTAAAAATTAATGTCTTTGGATCTGTGGCAGCAAAAGATCGAACATCCTTGGCTAAAATAATTTTGTGTTTCTATTATATATGAATTTCCTTTGTCCTGTTTACTTGATGTGAACACCATTCATGTGTCATCTTTCTCCTGAATGTTTTAATACCTTTTTTTTTCCTTCAGTTAGATTGCCTCATTTAGCACAGTTGTTTTGATATGCACAGAACTGGGTGGCTAGATCAGTTATTAAATCCTGCACTCTGGGTTTGGAATAATGTCATCTATGGTCTAAGTTCATGGGGTTTGAACAGCTTATAATGAAAAAAAAGTGCTGCTTTCAGTAATGCTGTTAATCTGAACATATCTTCATTGAATTTAAATGAAAACAGCTTAAAGTATCTGATAGCAAGCTGCTCACTGTAGTCATAAGGAAAAGAACAATATGTTGTGGAAGGTTGTGTCTGTTGAAGATGACATGTCACTCACTAATGTTTGTATGAGTCTGGTCAGTTGGGTAATGCTGAGACTAAGTCTGTGACAGCAACACCTAGAAGCTAATATTATACTTTCTATTGGCAAAAAAAACCCAAACAACTACTGTAGTGGAGGTGGAAGAGCTAAAACAGGGCCACAGGAAGCTAACAACATGAGGCAGTGCTTCCTGTGTGTAAATAGACTTATTTCTGCATTACCTTGCATTCTCTGTGGTCAATTGCATCTAGATAAAGCTGTTTCAATTACAATTTGCTTGTTGGTTCTATGCAACTGTGAAGCACCTTGGTCATGGAAGATTGTTTGCCCTCCTTCATTGTGCTACAGTCCAGTTAAAATTGCCAGTTGCTCTGTGTGAGGGAAGAACTGCTGGGCAAGACTGCCTGCCATGTGGTGAAGGTCTGTAACCTGCTCTTGACCGTGACCATTGTCCTGCCTTGTAACCGTCGAGAAGGCAGACGTAGGTGCTTGGACATGGCCTCTCCTTTGTTCGGCATCCTGTTACCTGATATTCTCCATCTTTTTCTGTGACGATGTGCTTTTGCACACGGTTCGCTTGAAGTATAATCACTTCACTTCCTTTGGTAGTCGAAAAAAGCTTACAATATTATGTGAAGTCATGGGTGAATTAAGTAAAGCATATCAAAGACTATCATAGCATAATGGATTCCAAAATGAACTTTTTCCCCTACCATCTTTCAATCGCACTTTAAATATAATTGAAGGCATTCATATCCTGACACTGGCAAACACTCCAAAATCAACATTTTTATTTTCAAATATTTGTTGAAATGAACTTTTCAAAACAAAATTAAGTTCTAATTTCTTACTGTACCTTAAAAAATCAAGCCCTCTCTCTTGCAAATTCTTAAGCTTAATATCTGATTAAACAAAGATAATTTCCTGTTCTTTTCCTGTTGCGTAGTAAAAAATAACAATATTCTGTTTGTGCTTTGTTGAATATGTGAAGAAGTATTTCTTCTATATGGTTATAAGAACACAAGGCTTGTGACTTTCTCCGCTCTGTGTGAAGATGCCTCTGCCTCTTAGGTCTGTGCATTGAGTAAAACTTTACTATGAGTTTAAGGTGTGATAAATTCTAGGTGAAATATGCACTGAACATGGACAAACCATGATGGAATATGTTTTTGTTGTTGTTATGTCATGCATTTTCAAGATAGGATTACCTGTCAAACTGGCACCTCTGTGTGTGTATGAGAGGACTATCCTCCATTACGTTTTGGGACTAACTTATTTGGCTGCCACTCTACAGTGGAATCAGCCATCTGGGCACTGGTGAAGCCTTGTTTTGCCTTCCGTTGCAACATCTGAGGCTAGTAACAGTACTATGCAAATAACGCACACTTTGAGTGCGGCAATGATTTCTTTTTGAAAAGCAGGAAATTCACAATTATAGCATCAGTCTCTTTAATTCATTCTCTCAGTATCTAAATGTTGCAGAAGGCCTTCCTTTCAGGTTAATGCCAAAATGCTCCAGTCTGTTGCAAAATGTTTAGCAGCCACCTGAAAGAGGTTAAAAGCTGATTTGAAGCAAGACACAGAAAATGAGCTAGGAAATAGTAAATACTAATGCTGGGACAATTTTTGTGAAGTCCTGTGCCTACAGATGTAAAGATGTTCAAAATAATTTGAAAATTTTGTTTTATTGTAAATTAAAATCAACATGACTAGTGATGGGCTATTTGTTTGTCTCACTGCTTGATTCAGACATATATTAGCTGGGAAGGAAAAAAGCAGAACTGAAAGAAGGCAGTAGATGTGGACTGTGGGTTCTGTCTTACACAGAAGAGATTTGAGCTCTGGTACAGTTATTTCTGAATGCCTGAGTGGTTTTGTACTTGTGCTGCTTCACAGGTTTCCTCAAAAGATGTTTGGTAACAGAATATCAGCTAATGATGGTAGGCTAGAGCTGGTAGGTTAAAGGAACAGACCTGTGGGAGAGAAGAGTAAATATAAGCCAGGAGCAATAGAGTACTCCACTACTCATGTGAACAAGGTGCGTCCTGCAAGGTGGAGAACACAGGTGGTAAGATTTCTATATACAGAGTAGAATGAGGGCTCTGTTTCCTTGGAATGATGTTGTCATTGGTGCTGGACAAATCAGCAACAAAACAGAGTACAGGTGAAAAGGGTTTGCCTGAGGACTGGTAGAAATACTGATCCAGTTCTAAAAATAAGGATGAACAGGTTGTGTTAGCAGAATTGGATGGGAAGAGTTTTTAAATGTCCTGTGTGAAGAACCTGCACTTGGCATTCATCTCCTCAGATGGAAGGTGCCTGAGAAGAGGCAAAGCAGTGTATAAAGTGCTAGCATGTAAACTATGCATTATTTAAGATTATATGAACTCGTTATGCTACTGGTGGTGGTGCCTCCATACTGTGCTGATTGATGTACGTGAAATGTGTATGTACCTCTTCACGTGGCAGTATGCACATTAAGTAATGCGATTACTCATAAAGGTGTCTACCACGTACCGTGTGTTGATAACAGCCTCCCTGAACTTTTGCTACAGCAGCCCCTCTAATACAGGTTTAAGTAGATTCATCATACCACCTTTGGAAGTCGTAAGAAATAGGTGTATCTAGTTGCGCTGCAGTGTCGCCACACCTAGGGGTATGCTGGCTGTATTGCATTAGGAGTGCCTCGCTGGTAGCAAAATGCTCCCGTGCTCTTGAACGTCCTGCCGCCGACCTTAGATGGCTTAAATAATTCTGCTTTGTCATGGGAAAAATGCCAAAATTATGTTAGCTCTTAGGATTCAAGGAAGGCTAGAAAAAGAGATGATGGCACAACTGTATGCTTTTAATTTGTCAAAACTCTATTCTTTCTTGTCCTAATAAGTCATTCTGGAAAAGATTTTAATTGGAAAAGGCTCCTGAAAAACATTTCTACTTTCTTGTACAAGTGAGAATCCTTTGAGATCCCTTTAACTAAATTAGCTTTAAGAGAGTTTTCATAGCAGAGAGATTTACCCCCTGCGATTTTTCCTTTTGTATTGGGTAATCTAGTTTTGAGAAGCGCCTGTGTGATTTATTAGCCTTTAACGTATGGCTGATATAATTAGGGCAGGTATCCCTCTGCTTCTCTCTCAAGATTTATAAGACAGTCTGTTATTCACTCACTCTACAGCTCTGCCAGAGCTGCGTTTAGTCTGAGAGCGAGAGCATCCTTTCCCAGAGTGAGGGAGCAAATGCTCAGTCTGCCGATAGAAAGCAGCTATTAGGGGAGAGCTACTGTTGTGATACACTGGAGCCGTCTTCCTAAAGGAATTCCTTTTTTGTTCCTGCAGCTTTCAGACTTAAATCACCAGGAAATGTTATTAATTTAGTGCACTCCTGAACGGTGGCAGACGCTCGGCTGCTCAACAACTTCATTTACCCTCTGCACAAGCAGAGCTGAGCAGTATTGTTTAGAGGAATCCTTGAAGGCTGTAATTTTTTTTTGCATTTGTTTTGTGGGGTTATTTTGGGAGAGAAACTTATGCTGTATCAATCTGCTTTGCCTTTGAAACATATAAAGCCTGTGGCTTGCAAAAGCAGTTCTGGAAGAGAGCATGCTCAGAAAGCTGGCAAATCATTGTCCAGTGACCGGGAGGAAATGATAGTTGCTCTTCATTTATAATGCAAATTCTGAGGTGTCTTCAGAAGTGTGGCAAACTTAAAATGATGGCTGTGGTGAGAACGTCTCTGCAGAAAGTTGTGGTCTTGCTGCATCGTTTACAGAGGATGGCAGTTTCTTCTCCCC